CACACACACACACACACACACACACACACACACACAGAAGGGCATACCGAAAAGATGCACAACATCGGTAGGGGCATATGGAAGGTTTTTCTGCCTGTACTGAACGGCTATCCTGTAGGGGCAAACTGAGAATTTGGCACCGGTACGGGTAGGGGCATATTGAACATGTATGAGGCTCAAAGGACACCTGGGGTTTTTTGGAAACTTGAATCACTGTTGGAGGGGCAAATCAGAGTGAGTCGGCCATCAAAGGGGCAAATTGCAAATAAACGCAAACTTCAGGGGCATTTCAAAAATTTTCCCTTTTTTGAATCAGAACATCCTATCATAACTTTTTTTTTTTTTTTTTTCAAGAACTGTCTTTTTATTAAGGCTTAGTGCCCAAGCCCGAAATAAAAGAACAATCGTACAGGTTCCAGATTCAGGGGAGGCGAGGTCGCCAACCTACTTCATGAGGTGAAGCGGTCCAGTGGTGCATTCAGAACATTTTAAATTTTTAACTTTTTTTTTTAACATGAAACTTAGCTCATTTGATTTTGCACACCAAATTCACAACATTTTTGACACCTTTCCAGCAGTCGGGAAACGGCCCAACGTCCCTTACATCATTTCAGTGATCCCATTTAAGGGAAGGACATCATCGGTCAAACCCTAAAACCGAACCGCTCCCCACTGCAAATTTCAATATTCCTATAATTTCCCATTTAAAAAAAAAAAAAAAAGAATCCTAATTATCATAATCCTGGAACTCTCTTCCCTCCATTTACCAATTTTAATCTAAAATAAAATAAACAAATCCTAAACAACATTATATATCTTATCCTATCCCTTAAGGAGCATTGGCCACGGGGGGGGGGGGTCGATGGTCCGCTGCGCTCTAAAATCGGGTTGAAGTTCTTGTGCGGGCCGGCGGACGAAGGCAATCGAGGGCGGGGGGGCGTGCAGAGCGGTGCGCGTACCGAATTGTTCACAGCGCGCCGGCAAACCTGAGTGGCCAAGTGCTAACTCTAGTTGTCCTTGAAAAAGACTCCCAGTATTACAACCAGGTAAAAGTTAAACATTGGATTCCTACGGGCAAATCGTGTTCGCTTAAACCACTAGTACCTCTACCAGTGTTAGGAAATTACAATATTTTGCCAATTCCCGAAGTTATCGGGGGCGAGACATAGGGTCGGTACTGTCCCATAAATCAGATTTTAATATTGCCGGCGAGCGAAAGAAAAAGGAAAAAAAAAAAGTTATCTCTACAGTAATGATGTCGGGCAGGGTAGTCTTGGAGGCCGTGCTCAGAGTCTTCCTCCACAGAATGCACCTCACCGGTAAGGCGGTCACATTCTGGATGTTACTGTTTTATTTTTTTTCTTGCTCGTGTGTTTCTTATCAGTCCCTTGCCAATGAGGCAAGACAGAATCCGTGAATTGCTCAAGTCGTCCGTGATATACTCAAGTTGTGTTTTGTCAGAGGATTGTAACTCTCATCACACTGGTACTAAGGGGAATGTATCCGACCATTTTCACGGGCGGATCCGTGTGCCTGTTTTTTTCGCCTTCTATTTTTTTTTTCGAATTTAACAAACTAGCCACAGGGCTAAGATGCCTTCACTGAGGGCACACTCACACTACCACTTCCAAGAATGTATACAACTGCAATCATGGTCAAAACTTTGTTTCGTTTTTTTTTTTTTTTCTGAGTTCATGACCCCAAATCTTTTTTTTTTTTTTTTTTTTTCCGTGATAATACCAGAAAAAAAAATGGAGTGGTACCCAGACTCGGCAAATCCGTAGCGCAGTGAAAATCAGGGTCGCCAAAAACAGGCTCGGAGGTACTAGTGGTTTAAGGAACGTTATGAGAATGCGTGAGAAAAAAAATGGAAAATATCTACTGAGGATGAGGAGCAACGACAAAATGATGTTGCGGTGGCATTCGCATGGAAACGAGCATTTTAAAGAAGAGTTTTCACCAAACCATTCACCTCGGGCCTTGTAATTTCGTCTAAAGTCCGAGTTAATGCACTTGCTGCTCAAGTTGGGGAAGATTATGTTCATATAGCTGATAGTGTCAGCGCGAAAATTTCTGAGGGAGTGGAGGCTAGTGTTTCATCAAGATCAGGATTTAGAGTCTGCGGTGACAATACGGCGACCTAAAGGCTAGCATGTCCAATGTCAAAAATCACTTCGGAACTCTTTCTAGTGTGAGGCGCGTAATCGAAAGAGCACATATCATTAGAAGACAACGTAACCTTAGCTAGTAATATGGTTTAAACTTCGATCAATCACTTCGGTAACATTATTGTAAATTTTGTCATTTGCAACGTGTAAATTAAAATCATTTCGAAGGAGGTGGTCAAAAATATGATAGTCATTGAAATTGAAGTGTCTGTGCAACTAACGATCATCATAAAGGAGCGTTTTGATTTCAATATGAGAAAATAATCAAATGTGAAGCAGGATAACGAAAAATGTTTGTCATCATGGTGAAGTTTACAGTTATTGACTGTATCGACATGCGAATATATGGGCGTTGAGAAGAAAACAGGAGACTGAGAGATTTTACATAAGTTTATCTACGAGCTACAAATGTTATTTTGTCTACGAGACGTGCTATACTCAATGTAAGGAGAGACCCCTTGAAGTTTTTTCAGTTTTCATTATGGAGTTTAAAGGTCTGCTTTAACCTTCACTCCCGAGTCGCATGGTAGACGGTTCAACATGGGAACCGTTAGTGAACACTCTGCAAAAATACTTCTTCTGCTCATTTCGACTTTTTGACACTCTGAGTAACGAGTTTCAAAATCTTCAATGTTTTATGATATAATATCACATTAGTTAAAAATTTTATAGTATAAAATGTTCAGGGTCTTTGATTCATGCTAGGTCATAGTCTTGCAAAATATTTGGTTATGTTAAAATGTGTCTCGATTTTAGGAGTAATATTTGACTTTTCATACCTTAGTAAGTCTTAGTTTTATTTGGATAACACATTATATACTGGTTTCATGTACCCTCTTTGTCATATAAATTTTTTGGAGTAACACCTTCTTATTGAAAACTTTTGAAGTAACTATTACAAATTCATGATATATGAACCAGATAATTGTTGTTTGTTTTCAAGTTATCAATTGTCTTGACAATTTTTCTGTATCTACTCATTGAAAACTTCTGAAGTTACTGTAACTATTACAAATTCATAATATGTGGACCAGGTATCCCAATCTGTTTTTAGTTTTATTGCTTCAAATTATCATAAGTTGTCAATTGCCTTAAGAATGATTGTGTACTATATTATGTACAGTGGTAACTCTTAATGCGTTTATTGAATTTTGACTCAAAATTTGACGAAGTTTAAGTTTTTTTGCTTGTCATGAGGTCATGTCATGAGTGCAACTTGTCAATTGTCTTGAGCATATTTAATTAATAATGTACTGTAGTAATTCCTTATGTGTTTATTCAATTCAAATCATTTCTCGCATCAAACCTCAAAATAAATTCATCCATTATAATGAATATTAATAATTATAATATTTACATACAATTAAAAATTTTAATCGAAGATTATAAGTTTTTTTTAAAGATCAATGTTACGATATTGAGCAACCAAAGACAAGTTTACCAAAGACAAACTTTAAGCTTTGTAGTCCGAGCACTCCATAGAGTAATATACAACCATGATAGCAAAATTTTAAGTTTGTTTAAGTTACACACTTAGACTGATACTTAGTATGTTCATGAAATCCGAATTGGATGTAATTATATACATAGGATACATCTTAAACATGATAATACTTAGTCTTAGACTAGGTAATGTAGCTGTTACATTGACTGTCTCCCTTTGAGATCATTTTTGTACTAGACTCTAAGGATATAACCAAGGTCAATTACAGAGGCTACATCCTGTATTATTACATACTTAGTATAAATGTTAACTTAAAAAGTGTTCAATCACTAATTATTTATATCTGATTCACATTTGTGGTTTTTCGAACACTCTGTAGTTAAAGTAATATACAATGGTTACCAAGTTGAACGTGAAGCTTAACAATGTCACCTAGTAGACTCAGTCCTAGGCTTAGTATGTTAGGTAAATCCGATGTACAGTTATTGTAATTAATATACAAAGGATATATTCTAAACATAC